CAATATCGACTTGAGCAAAACGGTATTTCTTTTTAACCCTTTAAGACCCCAAGACTTTAATGTTTGGTTATGCGTCAACCGCTCATGAAAATGGAACATATGAGACCTCGATGTGACTTTCTCACGCAGAAATATATCGGCACTGGTGCGGACGGGTACCAATCAGCACTGGTTCGGCATTTGCTTGAACAGAGGCGCATAAGGTCATTTTGCATCCCTCAATATTTCTGAAAAAGAATTATATATTCGGAATCAGCATGAAATTCTGATCAAAATGATGTATTTTCACCCTTGGAATATCGAAAAACGTTTTTCTCAGAATTTTTTGAAACACAGATTGTCTGATGCAGAATGTAATGCTGATTACAAATATAAGGTCAAACATCTGGAAGAAGAATCTTGACCATTAAAATTGAGTTCCACTTACAGACGGTGGTGGTAACTTAATTGAATTAATGTCATACTAGCATTGTAGTACATGGTTTGGGAGCCTCATAAACCAGCTAAAAATAATCGGAAAAGTGTGGACTTTCAGAATATGTTGTTTAACTAGTTCAAAAGGCTGATTTTCATTGTGAAAATCTCATTCCCACCGGAATAGCTTCAAAGTTCTTGTATTACATTTGGCGATTTTTCTGCCACGGTCGAATGAAAACGAATGCCAATGCGAAACTTCCATAGAATATACAGCTTTGAATGTTCCACCAAATGAAGCCTCTTTGAACGAAAACAAAACTACGCCTTTTCCCCAAATCTGGTTTTTGATCAAAAGGTTTTCTAGAAAACCTTTAAAAATTTTTTAAATATGCAATTCGATAGAGCATCAAATTCTGACTTAATTGATGTGTCACTCACGCTACCATCATGCAGATAAATCGAGAAATCAAAACTTGAAAAGGTTTTGGTGTACTTTTTCTTCAGCACAATCTCGAACACTGCCGTTCCATTACCAAGCGTCTCAGAAGTTTGAGTGACATATCATTTTAACTGCTCTTCAACTATCCTGTATCAGTGCGCACCGGTACGTATCACATGCCATCGATCACTGGTACTAGCTGGCACCGGTGTGCACCCGTGCCAAACAAGTGCCGAACCAATGCTGATTGGGACCCGTACCCACCAGTGCCGATATATTTCTGTCGAAAGAGTGAGACAATTATATTCAGCGTGTGAAAGTGAGCTCCCAGCAATTGTCTGATGCAGAATTTAATGCTGATTACAAATATATCATAATCGAACTTTTAAAATATGCTGGAATTTAGTTGGTTCTCAGCATGTGAATAACGTTTCTTCAGAAAATAATGGATGTTCCATCCATGAAGCTGTACATTCTAAATGGTTACTAAACGCGACAACACTTTGTCTTAGACGAGGCTCACGTTTCGCGTGTTTACCACCATAAGTAATATTATACATTGACATAGCAGCACCAGGAACTAGAGAAAGGCTACGAAAGACTAATGATCTATATATACTGATATCAGAATGCTCAATGTTGTTCTTATCGCTACGAAATAATGAACGAACACTAAAGTGATACAGGAAATAATTTTTAAAACGGTTTTATCCATAGATATCGTACACACATTCGCAGATTGATTCAATCCTCGACTGTTATATGTGTTGCTCACTGTAGTATTTGTACACTGCACACAAATAAGCGACTGATTGAGTAAATCTGTACGATCCACTACGGTGGCAAAGAGTTTAGGCGTTTGTTGTAGTTTAATAAAAATTCGTAATGCTTGAAAATTTGAACAAATCTTTCAGCGCATCTCCTGACCATTTTGTCAAATTAATTGAAGTAACAGTTGACCCTTTTCGTGTATATCAAAGGATACTTTTTGTATTATCGGAGCATTATTTGAACTCGCTCTTTTACTTCTTATCAATTGAATATTTCTTTTGACCACAGATTTCCTTTTATAATGTATCGTCGGAAATGAAAGGAGCCAGTGCGTGGATCCAAGCAACATTTTTGTGAATAGATAGCGATAAACTATATTTCTCTGATCTTAATGTCATTTGATTATTGATTACATTTCGATATTCTCGGAAATTTGTTTGAAATAATTTTTCAGCTGCATTGACAGATAATCTTATTTTTAATGAATTCTTTATGAGCTGATGGTTTAATAGTATCAATTTGAATACTCTGGTTTTTTTGTTCAATTAACCACTTCTGAATCTTTCCCCCTGTTGGCCGTGTATCCTTTAAAATAGTTCGATGAATATCGTTTATTGTCATGTATTTTCCACAATTTTCTTTGTCCAATGGATTCGATACCTGACCCACTTTACGGTCCAATTGTTCAACTTCATACGGATTTAATTTTGTTACTATTATGCATTCTAATAATTGATCGATATTTCGTATGAGTGATTTCGATTGGACTAATTTCCATTCATTTGGTTTATCTACTACGGTTGTCACTTGAGGTTCTTCACTCACAGATCGTGCTACAATAATTTACTATTTGTGAACTTAATAATACTAAAAGAATCATCATCCAGCTGGTTTACTGTTTACGCAAATAACACTGCTTGTTTTGTAAAGAAATTCCATACATTTATAGAAAAATGATATGTATGCATCATTTATTTCATTTCTTTTCTTTCGTTTAGGATAGCTTATACAGTGGCGATGAAAATTTTTCGTACACCGCCCAAATTATCTTTTCTTTCGTTTAGAAAAAAGGGTCAGTTACGCCAATTTTTCGATTAAAAGATCCGTCAAATTCTTCCAGTTAACTTCCAGACTATATGTATCTTACTTAATTTTTGACGCTGTTTCAAATGGCTAATTAGGTGTTTTTTTCACCTACTCATTCCTAAGATTGAGCAGTAAGACTGAAGAGTATGACAATTTTGGCTTAAGGTCATGTTTTCACCCTGAGGAAAAAAGGTTTTCAAAATTATTTTTACCAAAATATAGTTCGCACTCTCTTCTATCGATTGATGTAGTTTTCATATTTTGTTGGTACTTATACAGCGTAAAAAAAGATTTTTATCAACTGTACGGAAAATTTTTGCTCATCTGAAAAAGTTCACTTTTCAAACTAGTGAGCCTACACAGAGCAGTAATGAATATTTCTAATTTTTTCTACCTACAAATATACTAGAGAGAGCAGAGAATTTTTTGGTGCAAACCTCTTGTTACCGAGTTCAGAAAAGATAATTTGGGATGTGTACGAAAACTTTTTATCGCCACTGTATAAGCTATCCTAAACGAAAGAAAAGACATGAAATAAATGATGCATACATATCATTTTTCTATAAATGTATGGAATTTCTTTACAAAACAAGCAGTGTTATTTGTGTTTGTATTATCTGTAAATTGATGAACAGCAAACAATCTTTCTCAAAGTGCCTGTGTTTCCATTTGATAGTTTTAATTCGTTAGCCATATTTTCGCTCAACAGCACAATCATCTCATACACCAAGGTTACATATCCAGGCAGTCCTTTCGTTTGATTAATCGGTATATCGAGCAGAAACTTGGTTTTTTTTTTGATTTTTGTATTTATCTTGCGCACGGAACACTAACAACTACTGAGACACTTTTGTCAAATGCTTGGGATATCATAGCTCGGATATTGGGCTCGGTTAGTACACTGTAATCTTGAATTAATTTCCAGTTTATAGAAAATCACCGGGGATTTTCTGGTTTATAGAAAATCGACTTGAATTTACATAAATTCGATTTTCTATAAAGGTGGAGAATCGCTGAGGATTTTCTATAAATAATTTCCAAGAATCTGAAAATTCGATTTTGATTTTCTATAAACTATAAAGTCCGCGACGATTTTCTAAAAAGTGGAATTTCTAGACCAAATACTTATTCATCTTTTTGTTTTGCAATCAGTATGGGTATAAGAGCGTCACATAAAGACACTCATATTATACTTAAATCAACTTTGACAGTTTCTACTTTAGATCACAATTCTGTCTATACCAGCAAGAATTTTGAATTCCTGTATTGAGTTCTCAGAATATTTTAAGACAGAGGATAGCATAAAGAACTGGAGAAAAATTGAAGGTGAAGTTCGATTTTTTTTATAGAATTGGAGTTAAATTTGCCTGGAGGTTGCCCATTATTTGATATGATATTTATTATTTATGCAAAAATAAAATAAAATTTATTTCTATATAATTTGATTCACAAAATCGGTTTTTTGTACAACAACTCACACTAGTAATTAATAGACAATGAACAATTATCGGCCTTAGATAATACATTAGAAACTGTTAACTTATACGTATTTTTACACTAGATTGTTTCAAATAGACGTTTTTGATGCTCGTTTAATTTATTCTTTGCTTACAACGAAGAACCTTTAATATTGTTTCGCCACGTCGAGCACGAATTGGTCGTCCATTTGAGGCACTATTTTCCACGATACGTAAACAGTCTTTTGATTTTAAGGAATCTGTTAATAATAGCTGAACTTCGGCGTGTGTCAGTGAATAAGCTAAAATAATTGCCATAAACACATCTATTATTTACTAATTTTTCTCATCATTTCCAGCTGGAAAATGGAGATTGGTGCCACTGCATAAATGGGTTTCATTCACCATAATTCGCAAATGGTGCAACTATAAAGAACTCATCCATCAAAACGATAGATTTTGAAAGTCAGAGGGTAATATCTAATTCTAATCAGTGACCTTATAAGAACCTCATTGCTGATAGAATAATGCTGAAAACACATAATTGTGATTTCAAACTGTAACAGCACATACCTGAGACTTATATTCTTTATGAACCTCTAAGGAAAAAGTGATGGATCACTTGGCGAGGTTCTCTGCAAACAAATTATTCGAGATACTTCTACTTGAAATGAATAAAATTTTGTATAGTTTTAAATAATTATTACATCTTACCTGATGCTAATTTGTCAGTAAATTCATTACATGTAATTACCAATATAATTACATAGATAGAATATTTAAAATTCATAATTTCTCGATCATATAAATATTTGACAAATAACTCATTAAACTTGTGGTTGTATGATGATAGTGTTTGATTCTCTAGATATAAGATAGGAAAACACAAATGAGTGAGTACGCTGTTGTTCTTGTTATATACACAAACGAAATCAAACAGATTCAAGTTTTAAACCTATCTGTTGATAATATCGCGTGTAAGTTTTATAAACTTCGGCATGAGGTTTTCGCGTACTTTTTGTTGTTTGTAAGACAAGGAAAAAAATAATAATATTTTCTGTTTATGTTGTAAAGAAAGAAAATAATATTACTTTGTTGCTATTTTAAGAAAAAATAATATATATATATATATTAGTCGAATACACTTAAGTACAGGGAGTTAGAGAAAAAGTATTTGATGATCAGCATTTGTCTATAATGTTACTATTATTGTTTTCGAAAATAAATATCAAAATATCAAAAATTGTCTATAATTAGACTATTTTCCATTGCATAACTTCATTGTTAAATATCAATGTATGTTTGTACGAGATATAATTTAAATAAAAAGATAAACTAATTTTAGAATGTTTTATTTCATAATAGATCAGCTTTATTAAATGAATATAATATGAAAATTTCTTTTTCAAATAATAGTAATAATCGATATGTATGACATTATAAAAGATACTAGGTCTTGAAAAAGCAAACAGTATAGGACACTTTTCTTTATATTCATTGTCATGAGACGAATAATGAAATGGGTCACATCAAAATTATTCAAAAACAAAAAATTTGAATACAGTAGCAAATGTTTTTTATAAAATATAGATTCTTTTGTACTTTCATAAAATAAAAAAAAAGATGTGAGAGAAGTTTTAAATGATGCAATATGTATAACTGGACACTAAAATGATTTTGATAGAATATGTACGATGAGTTCACCGAAGAGAATAGTAATTCATCAAGTATTGCACTGTACTACTTAATTATTGCCTAAAATATATTTTTTGTTATCAATCTTTGGTATGAAGTATACACTTTTATTTGTTTTATCACCAAATGTCTATTACAAAGAGTAGAAGAGAAAAAAATTTGCTTAAAATTATAAAATTTTCCTCTTACAAATGAAATAGAAACATAAATTAAGAACTTACTGAAAATTTTTGAATTGAATAAAAATAATATTTAGAGTAAAAATGTTTGCTTCTAATTAATCTACGTTTATTTGATAACTTAATGTTTTTCATTAATATTATTATTGTTCGGACTTTAATTTCCATTTTAGTTTAGAATATTTTTCTACGCAATATAAAGCTAGTCTAAGATAACATGTCAAGGAATAAAAATTGTTCGACGTAAAAGAATATAAAGATAATGAATGTTTCAAGGTTTTATAAAAATGTTGAATAGTTAATACCCGTGGATGAACTCTGACGTTGTCAATTTTGAATATTGGCCAAATAAGAAAAACAAAAAAAAAACAAAAAAGACCAAAAAGTGTGAAGATGTTCATTTGATTTTAAATTTAAATAAAATAAAGATGAAAAAATATTAGTTTTCTTATTCATTTTGACGAGACAATGAGGAACCTTGATGAAGAGGAGTATTTTTAATATATTCATTATTTTTTCAACTAGACATTTCGTGTTTGTTTTTTTTTGTTTGTTAAATATATCGAAAAAAGAATTGAACACTATCATTGAGATATGATAGTTGATGAACTAATTAATGTTGTTTGACATTAACATTTATCACCATATAGTTGGTCGTTATATTTTTTAACTCATAGTCACTAAAGGAGAAAGAGTAGCACACACACACATTAACTTTTCAAATTAATTTCGACACTATTGCTCTATATAATAAATAGTAACAACAGATGATTTGACTTGTATTTATATATATATATAAGTAAAAAAATGTGAGAATAATTGATAGGAGTGAGCTCATTTTCTCTGAGAAATAAAAACATTTCAGTATCCTATAACTAAAAGGCCATCATGTATTCAATAATAATTTCAATTTTTTAGAAAAACTTGAAATTCATGTTTTGTTTTTTTTTTTCATTTATATGATCATTTTTTTTTTCTTCTTCATATGCTTAGAAATAAAAAAAAAGCAAACAAAACAACCACATTGAGAGATAAAGCACTTTGACACAAATGTAAGATGAAAGAATCGCGGAAAATAGTTTTACAGTACAAAAAAACAAAAGAAAATTAGAAGAAAGTATATTTCAACAAATAAAGTGACAACAAGTTAAAACCAACAAAAAAGAAAAAAAAAAAAAAAGAAAAAAAAAAGAAATAAAGAGCAACAAACAAATGATGTAGCAATCTAGTGAAACAAAAACTACAATGAAATCAAGAGTATTATAAATAGTTCATAATAAGTTTACTTCTAAGATAGAATCAACTAATAAAAACAGATTCAATATATTTATGTACAATACTTTTTTTTGCATGAGTTCATCTGTCAATGAACAAAATATGCAAATAAAGATTCAGTTTGTGAGCAGCAGACATAATCAAAAAAAAAGAATATGGAATGAATATGTAGCATTAAAGTCTAATAAATGGATTGCTAACAGACAAATTTTTTATATACCAGGTGAATGGACAAAAAACAAACAAAACAAACAAAATACAGATATAAAAGTACAAGAAAAATATATCTGACATTCATCGAAAAGAGAAAAAGAATATTTGCAAGTATATGATGTTTGTTGGTTTGTACAATATTAAATAATAAATGCATAGACACTATTTTGAATGACATGGTCCATTACACACATACACACACACACACACATAATCATATATTTGTTTTTTTAGATAAATAAATGCTAAAAACTAGAATCTTACTATGAACATTTTCCATTTTTTGATGTTCGATGATGATTATTTAAATGATATTTTACTTTGTTTATATCCGAATTAGAAAAATCGCATAGATCATAAACAAATGCACCCTAGAAAATACAAACACAAAAACAAAATAAAAAAATAAAAATAAATGTATAAAATTGATTAAGTTCAATGATAACTAATTTCTTACCTGTACTTCATGACTATCAAGATGTTTTAAAAATAAATCACGATCATTCATAATAAGAAAATTACATTTTTTACATTTATATTCAATAGAATATTTATTGTGATTAACTAAAAAGATAATAGAATAATTTTAAGATATAGAAAGAAGAGAAAAATAGATTGATTGGATGAATTCTTACTTTTAGTCATATCTTTTATTGCTGGATTATTTTCAAGCCATAATAATGCTATAACAAAACATAACATTAAATATTAAAATAATTATTTTTTAATTTTAATTTTACCTTCAGCATACATTTGATAATTAGGTTTAAATTGAGATGATTGAGAAAGATAATCAGTAGTCTAAAAGTAATATAAAATAAAAATTTTATTTTCAAAAGAAGATCATACTTTATCTCTCCGACAATGAATGATCGAACATGTTTGTATCAGTTTTTCTGTAGAACTATATACATGTCTTACAATCTTAATTAGGAGATTTACTGTTCAAGTTTTATTTATGTTCTCAGTTGATAACAATCATATCGGAAATTCAATTTATTTTGAAGTGTAGTAGAAAACATTTGTTTTCCTATTTATCAATCATTTATCAAATGAAAATATTAAAAAAAAAAAGATTAATCAATACAACACGTTTAGAAGAAGAAGAAGAAAAAAAAATGAGTTGTTATTCCCAATTTGACTATTTGTGAGAAAAATTTGATACACTTGTTTAAGATACGTATCATGTAAATGCATCAATTAATTTCAATAACATATATAACGATATTGAGCGGAACGGCAGTTTATCTGATTCTATTATTTAAAAATATTATGGAGAAAGTAAGGTCTACATTCTCTCTACGGAATAACTCCACTAGTAAACTTATAGAAAGTATAAAATAAACTTTAATCTCAGGCTTACAAGATGTATATTGATGAAGAATCAAACCGTGAATATAATTTTCTTACTAAATTATAGCGTACGGGCCTTCCGATGTAGAATAGAAATCTATTTCTATATTAACATTTAGCCACTTTTAATGATAGATACCTACAACAATTAGCGGGTGTAAAGAAAGGTCATAGTGAGAACTAAAGAAGAAGATTCTAATCTTTGCTAATCTCGTTTTGTATGTTGAATGGCTATCTGAACTCTTCAATTATGAAGTTTCTGAATCAATTATTCATCAGCACCATTAGCTCCGTACACTCTTTTTTGTTTTAAAGACGGATTGCTCAGTAGCATTACAATATACATAAAATAAGAGTAAGGAATAGAGTAGAGTAATTAACAGTCCCTCAGAGTTCAAAATGCATTTTTGATCTCGTCTGTTAACTTTGTTAATGAGATTATTCCATATCTCTATCTTTGTTCATCTTCTAATCTTTTTCACTCATTAATGTAAAATCTTCGATTTCATTGTGGTTCAAATGTTATTTGAACAACTCATAAATATTGGGAAGCTAAGGCCTTAAGATATTGCATAAGATAAGAGTTTATTGTGTACTTTTGCGAATCGTTTTACTTTCAATTGTAGAACATCTATACAGTCACTAGAGTGTGAACCTTCGCTAATTTCGTTTTTTCTTCATAATAGATACAGACACATCTACTTTCTGATCATAAAAGACAAATTACATTATGGAACTAATAGTACTATATTTTTTTTTATGAACTGACATGTACAAATACAACATGTATATCTAAGTGATCGTAATCGTAGTGGATAGATAATAGAAGAAATCTGATTATTTTATACAATTATCTTAACTTCAGAAGAAAATAAGACATTTCCACTTTAAAAGATGAAAAAAATGAGTTAAGTTTAGGTGTGGCGATCACATAGAATTTCGTCTACACAGAGATGAAAATTGCAGTAATATTATAAATTTTTTTTAGTATATTTAATGTAAATCTATGCTATAAAGAAATAAATTTAGAAAATCACATACCTGTTCAGTTAATTGATTGTCATCATTCACACTGTCATCGGATAAATTAGAATTTTCCTCATCTATATCACTTTGTTCATTTGAAACATCATTGTTAATGGGAATAGTATTGTTTGACAGTATTGATGAAGTATTATTATTATTTGTATTATGATGATATGGTAGAATATCAGCTATGTTAATTGTGGTGTTCGATTTCGTTCCATTTTTCATTGATGCATGTGCTTTTCGATGTACTAATAAGTCGCTAAGATCATCTGCTTCATATTCACATTGTCGACAACGTAAATTACTATTCGAAATTGTTTGTGAATTAGATGATAATTTCATGTGATTTTTTCGTTGGTTATTTAGAATAACGGGTGGTGTTGTCGTTAATTCTTCTTTTTCTTCACTTATTGTTAGAGTGTTGGTATTAGTGACAGATGGTGGTGAAGCAACATTGCTATCAATTTCGCCCCATTCTCGTTTTGTTCGATCGTCCATGATTAAATCATCGTCTTCCTCATCTTCACTTGCTGCATATTCTATATTTTCTTCTTGTTCCATTAAATCAGGATGTTGACGCTGTTTATTCATTTCTAACCGCATCATAACAGCTGCAGCCGCGGCAGCTGCAGCTTGATGTTGTTTATCGGTATTTCCAATAACAAGTCCTAAACTTTCCATTACTTTTTGCATAGCTTTTCTACCAACTAATACCGGTCCGTGATGTCCACACACTCTCATGTGCTTTTTAACATCACATTTCCATTTAGATCTGTAATCACAATTAAAACAATGATATGGTTGTTCGGAGGAGTGAACAATTAAATGTCGACGCAGTTCAGCCATGCTAAAACAAAAAAAAATTAATTTAATAAATAAAATTTCAATTTTGCATGCTCTTCTTACCTATTGGCTGCAAATGGACATTGTTGACAACTTAATTGTCGATCAGCGGTACATTTCATTGTTGTTAATTTTTGTTGTACATCTAAGCCAAAATAACTGTAGTCAGCATCGTCATTCTGTGGTTGTTGTTGATCTGTCTCGTCTGTCACATTTTTATGATTTGAGTTTTGTTTTAAATTTGTCCCTGTTGTTCGAAATAAAAATTTATCAGGAATTTCAATGATTTTTGCTTGGTCTTGTGGATGTTGTTTCTTGACATGTTTTTGAACGTCCCATTTCCAATTTGATCTAAATAGATTGAATCAACTTATAGAAGGTTTATTGTTAATAACAAAAAGAAATATCCGTATGACTAGTTGATATAAGATATTAATGCTAAGGGATACAAATCAGTCAATATAGTATCCCTCTTCTGTTCAGTATAGGTAATCCAACAGAGAATTCTCTAAAAAATTGATTACCCACGTATTATTAATAACTTACGCATAAGGACAGGCGGAACAGTGATATGGTTTGAGTTGAGCGTGATGACATCGCATGTGTTGAATCAATTCACTTCTCCAACGTCCTCTATAATCACACCATCTGCATTGAAAATTTCTTTCTTCTTTTTCAATTTTTCGTTGTCGAAATTGTGATAAATTTCCACTGGTTGCTGACATGTGACCGTTATTACTATTTGTTTGTTGTTGTTGCTGTTGTTGTTGTTGATGTGCGGCTGCTGCTGCAGCTGCTTGCATTGCAGCTATAGCTAAACGGTGATGATTAGCTTGATTAAATATAAATTGATTATTTGCATGTTGTTGTTGTGCTAGTACATGGGAATTTGAATTATTCTCAGGATGCGGTGTTGTTGCGTTGGACGATGGTGTCGACGAAGAACTGGATGAAGGTGATTGTTGACGTTGATTTTGTTGCGGATGGAACGGACTACTATTGGAAATTGAGGAACGACTTTTGGATAAGTTGGGTGGAGATACGGATGAATGCGGTATGGATAAACTTTCATTTGACGTTGGAAGAGTATTGGATGTTAATGATGATGGTGCTAAATTCGACATACTGTGTAATTTTTGCAATTCACGTGATTGTAAAAGTAATGATGGATTCATAAATGGCATCGATGAGAACATCGGATGTGGAAAACCGGTGTAAAATGGTGGTGGAAAATAAACAGGATGAGAAGCTGATGTCATCGGCATATAAGGAAACGATGAATGTAAAGATGGAGATGAAATTGATTGATCGATTGTTACTGGAGTCGATGTTGTGCGAGGGATGTGATTGTGAGAATGCGATTCGTCTTTTATTTTTTTGGAGGGTGGTGGCGATAGAGAACGTTCATCGTCGTCATTTTCTGAAAAAAAAGCGACTGTTACATAATACAGAACATTTATGAGATCAAAAGCAAAGTATGTAACTCCATCGAATACTGCCGAAATTATCCTCAAATAAACTCGGTTTCTGCTCTACGAATTAGTTGTCATATGTAGTACTAACCTTTTTCTACATCAACTTCATCTAATTTCATTCTCTCATCCTCTTCTTCCTCTTCATTATCCGAATCAGCAATACTGATTTCAGGTTTATCAACTGAATCTGTATTTAAATATTCATTATCATTTAATTGTGAAGTAGTTGATCTTCGCTGTTTAGTTATTGGTGCAGGTATCATTTTTCGAGATGAAATTGATTTTTTTGATGATGTGGTTGATGATGGCGATGAAGAAGTACCAGTCGATCGTCGATTTCTATCGTCACCTTTTTTTGTTTGTTCCATTAATGATCGAGCTTGATCACGATCACGTTTTTTGTATGGATTTACCAATTTCGGGTGAGCACGATCAAAATGTTTGGCTAAATCCCAACGCCATTTGTATGTTAATGAACATATTAGACATTTAAATGGACGAGAACTTGAATGAGATGCAGCATGTTTTTGTAGTTCTGTTGGCCAACGTCCAACAAAGTCACATTGAATACATTTTAATGGATTTGTCGGATCACTTAAATTCCATTCCTCATTTTGTTGTGCAACCTTTTTGTGAAGAAGAAAATGAGCATTAAATAAAATCATATAACAACTGAGTTTTCTGCAACTTGTAAAAAAGCTACATTTTAAGTAAACACTCTATGCTTTGCTCATAGGTGCGGTTAGACTTAAATACTGTTTATTCTCGGTATAAAAGGTGATTTCTCAAAAATCGAACAAAAGTACTTACATTAGTGTTGCGTGGTGGTGATTTACCCGATATTTCTCGTTCTAATTCAGGTAAATGATTCTGTGTAAAATGTTCATTTATTGTTTCAACAGCTAAAAAACGTTGATCACATACAGAACAAATAAATATTTTTTGTCCATATGGATTTGTTATACTTGGTATATGTGTTAATGATTGTGACGGACTTGTTGGATCTATTTGACTATTATTGGCACTGCTTAAGAGAGAGGATGATTGTTGACTGTCAATCGGTTGTGGACTTTGACTACAATCATGTTGTGAGAGGTAGTGGCGCTTATAATGACGTTGTTGTTGTTGTTGGGATGATATATCAGTAGTACTGACAGCAGTTCTATTCGAACGGTTTGATGACATTGTTTTTACATGTGAACGAGATGGATGATCGTAAAAGCTTTCACGACTATGATCGCTGACGTCAATATCTGACAAGGATGTATGTTGCTGATGATCGTCGTGTTGTTCCTCTGGTAGTCGTTCAATTGATGGTGATCGAGAAGTTGATTGGTGATGTTCGACCGGTGAATATGAATGACGTTTAGGCTGTTCAAATGAGCTATCACATTCATTATCATCAATTTTAATGTTGTCCATAGCTCGTGAATGATGCTTTTTAGACTTTTTTCGGTGTTTCTCTTGTTTTATTTCTTTTTCTATTTCGTTTGATGACTGTCGTCCTAAAAAAAAACGATTTTACATCCCCTTTAGAACAACAAAGTCTAAAACTAGAATTTACTTGAGATATTTGCTATGATTGGTTTCTTATCGACAGGATCATGTTTGCCTGTTTTAACTGTTAAATCCAAAGGTGTTTGTGACACATCTATTTCACTTTTTTGCGATTGGTCATCATCTTTATGATTTTTATTGGATTTATTATCATTTTCATACTCTTGTTTTTTCTCATTGTGTTTTCGCACTATGGTAGTATCAGAAAATGAACTTAATTCCGGTGGAGGTAATAATACTTTATTTGAAGGTGACATATAAGGATTTTGTTTTTGTTGAATCGACGATATATTTCTTTGATGAAAGTGGTTTAAATCGGATGATAATGGTATTTGCACTAAAGATTGTGAAGGAAAACGATTCTGATGGGCAGCAGCTAATATCGGCTTCCATGCTGGATTAAGCCATTGATATGAAGCCATTGGATGAAATGGAAATGCTGGATGATGATGATGAGGTACCGGAGGTTGATTTGGTGATAATTGCGATGCACCTAGTAGACTTATTGACTTTGATGTTTGTGGTAACATGTTATTTAATGTTGCTAGTTGTTCGGAAGTTGGCGAAAAATTGATATCGAGTGGTGGACGAATTCGACCTTGAAGTGATTTGTTATACGATGAGGAAGAAGTCGAAGATGTTGGTGTTGTGATTGCTGATGATGCAGTTTTGGTTGGTCGAATATGAACAGGAGCGTCTAACGGTGGTGGTGATTCACTATTGTGCTTTTCTTTCCAATGTTTATTAAGACTTTTACGCCACTTATACAAATTTCCACATAGCGAACAGGCAAATTTTACTGAACTAGCATCATCTGGATCAGGTACACGACGATATCTGAAATAATAGAAAATGTAGGGGAAACGTCTTATAAAGAAAAATCTCGTATGTTATACATGATATAACTCTTGAAAACTAAGATCTCTCATTTTGCAGAAGAGATATTAGCATCCGAAATATTTCGATGATAAAAAGGGATGGTACAACGATTTTATCCTTACAATCTATTATAAACCTTTATCATATGAAGAGAGCAATAAAACTGATCGAGTTTCAAATATTAAATATAACATAGACAATGAAGTTAAATCCAATACATACCTAGCTGGATCTACTGAAACGTTGTATGGTCGTTTTCTATCATTACCACTTGTTGTACTAGTACGTGTTGGAAGTAAGCGTTCGTCATTATCTGGAGTATTTGAAAATTGTTCACGAATACCAAATGTTCCTGTTGCTGGAGTTGTTGTCGAAGCAGAAGATAAATAATTTTCACCGCTTTGCGAATGAGACGATGTTACAGAAAGATTAAGTTTTTTACACGATGAAGAACGATTCTATTAAAAGAAAGAAGAAATTAAAACAGACAATAATGGTGTTAGTTTATTAAAAGTCAAATAAAAAAAAAGTATGCAAGCTTATAGCTATTGGTTAAAATAAAATAGAACATTTATTTGCGTGAATGGATGAAATAGAATGGCACCGCAATTTCAAGTAAGAAGAGAAGATGAATTTCTGAAATTTATTATCGGTTTGTTGATCGAAGAGAAGAAATGGAGAAGAAAAAAAAAAAGAAACAGAGAGTATAAATGCGAGAATGAGAAAAAGAAAGATAGTGGTCTCTCCTTTTATATTTAACACTCTGTAATGCTCTGTTCTTCTGATGCTGTCTTGATTCATATTTAAAAATTCTCCTTTAATGTTTAACACCAATAATAGCCATAACCGACATTATATACAAGAGAATATGATAAACGTTAAAAATTTTATTTTTTATGTCTAAAACTATAAAATTTGATATTTAGAAGAGGTGTATAGAGAAATGAATATTAAAAGAGTAAAAAATGACAAAACGAAAACACACAGACAACAGTCAGTATTCACAGTAAAAATACTATATAGATGAAATTATTCATCATCTACGTTAATCCATTTTTTTCTTTTTTATCATAAATGTTATTGTTATTATTATATGATAGTCGAATAACCTTTCCATTCTTCAACTGAAGCATACGTTTCACTGATAAAAAATGAAAGTAACCAACTTTTAAAAATTTGATACAACAATTGAGTTTGTCAAAATATATACATATTTGACGAAAAAACAGCAACAACAAAGAAGTGCTAAGAATAATTTATAAGAAACACGGTTAGCATTAATCTTTTTTATGTGAAATATTGTGAGAAACTTTGAACAGTTTAAAGTGTAGATCTTTGATGAATAATGATTAAAAACAGTATCCCAGTATATTTTACTTTTGATGATTCATAAAAAATAAAAAATGTAAAACTTAAATTTGTGATTCTCACTCATCTTGTAAGATCCTATGTGCATTATGTGAATAGAATTACATGCATCAATAAAAAGAAGCAGTATCAAATTCACAAAAAGAAAAAAAATCATTTTTCTTTGACCGGTATAGTAGAAGAAGAGTCTATCATCGTTCGTTGCAGACATTTAAAAACGAGATATAATCATTTTTCATTTTTATGTTGGACGCGCATGTTTATGAGGTGTTGTTTTTCTTCTTCTTTTTTTTTTTTTTTTATCATATACAATTTTTATTTTTAATAGAAACAATGATTAGAAATAAGCGAAGAAAAGATAAGAAACGTTATGGTACAATGATATTAAAGTTTAGAGTTTTCTGTATGTCTGGATGATCAGAAAATTTTCAATTTTCTCTAATCTAATAAAAAAAAAAAAAATAAGAAAAAAAATCTGATTCAATCACTTATTTTCTTCTATTACAAAAATTGATACTATATAAAATTTGTTGTTATATTCATCATATTCTAAGATACAATATGACTAAGTTTTCTCACTTCCTTGATAACAAAATTTAGTACACAAAAAACAATGAACATATTAGAAAATTATGTTTATTTTTCAAAATTATCTGTATATCTGATTTGAAGAGTAAATTTTACATTTTTGATAATAGTCTGATAAGTTCAATTAATCTTTCAAAACTAATTTTTATGATATTCTGTAAAACTGTTATTGACACCTAATTGTTTTAAATATCAATTTCGACAGAGAATATCTGGTACCATATATTTTCATAGATAGAACTATTCAAGATAAATAGCACGAACATTTCCAACATTAACTCTCTTCTCTATTCAACGTTAGATAGATATACTTTCGCGTTCAACTTCAATTTTTATACGGATATTTTTCACACATCATTAATGAATATCTTTCTCTTTCTCGTTCAACATAGTTGAATATCAAAATTGAATTTAAATCAGTCAGTGTATAATATATACGCGTGTTAAGAACAACGTATACTATGAAATATAGGCATATAATCGGTAAAAAATTTAATTGTTCCCGCAGCAGTTCTATTTATTGACACTTCTTTAATTTACAGAGTCATAAAACATGATCCGTAAAAGAACATTTTTCACTTAGTTTTATGATGAATAGAGCGATAAAATACAAACAGAAATTAAAAGATCAATCTTTTGTGCATATTTAATGATTTAAATCTGACAAATTGATATATATATATACAGTACTGTTCGTACAAATTCTTATAATATTCGAGCTAGAAATAGAATCCTAAAAAATAAACTGTTGAACTACCATAATGAATTAGTATCTCTTTATTGAAAAAAAGAAAAGCAGTATAGATCATCTAGTATACAGTTTAGTTTATACACGATATTTAAATAAATGTGGTCATGATCTTCTGTCCTATGTCCGAATAAAAACACAAAAAATTGTCGTTAAGTTAAATATCTATATACTAACCACGAAAAAGAATATATAAAAATAACTTAGTTAATCATTGAAAAGTACAGTATGTCACATCGAGAAAAGACAGTATAATTAGTTTCTTTTAATCAACTGTCCAATGCTTACCTTTACTTAAACGTTTTCTTTTTGTTTTATATTAAATATTTCATTTTTTTAAAAAAAAAATGAAACCGAGATGGAATTAATTTTACAAGTTAGACGCGTAGAGTGTACGTATATGTATGTCAGTTGAAGACGGGTAAAAGTGAAATTCGAGAATCATCCGCATTAATTTCGATACAGTTCTGTCACTCTGTAAAGTTGAAAAGTGAGAACAAGAAAAAAAATATAGAAAGAAGAAAAACATACTGTTGCCTTTAGAATAATAATAATAATCAGTGAAAAAGTCATAATTCACCAATTTCATTGTTTGTCTCTCTCTCTTTCTCTCTCTTCCTCTGTTTTATTTTGGAAAGTTGTGAAATAAAAATCATAAATTGTACAGAGAACACAAGTATAAAAAAAACACAACTAAGAAGAAAAATTTGTGATGCAAATTAGATACGATCTAGGTTTGTAAAACTTTATTGTTCATCTTTCAGACACACACGGATCGTGTGTATTTTTGTTATAATCCAGAAAAATCTCAAGTATCACTTTAAATAAAATTTACACCAGAACCAAAAGAGAAAAAAAAATTATGTCAGTCTAACAAAACAATAAATTGATTGACATCGTTCAATTCCTTAGTAAATTATCATATTTAAGAACACTCATGTCTGATTATATCATATCGAGAGAGAGGAGAGAGAGATCAAAAAGAAATTTAGTCATCGTTTAAAAAAAAGGGTTGACTTTGTATACACATACTTATGATCAAAAACACACAACAAGACGAAGAAGACAATCGACAAATCAATTGAATGAATTGACCAAAGATGCCGGGAAATTTAATATGGTGAGCAAAAATTATCAACATTGTAGCAGGATATGAACACTGGATAAGTTCAAACACATGCAAAAAAATATCATCAAGAACATATTTATAGTTAAATAAGCAATAGAAAAACATTTTTCTCTCTGAAAAGACGATAAATCGATTGAACATGAATATGGATGATAAAAAGCTTCTCAAAAAAAAACATTTTTAAAGAAAAGTCATCTTTAGAAAAATAACGTTTTATTACGCTTTTGATCAGAATTGTTGACACCACTCTTTATCATCTTGTGTTACATTGCATCAGTAACACTTTAGAAAAAAGTTGTAAAATTATATACAGATATCCAAGACTAAGAGTTGAAAAACGATACGATTAATCAGGTAGTTTATGAGACTATCCCTTAACCTCTGTAATCACATAATTGTGATACATTTTGGAACTGATGTATCAGATTGAATTTAAACATTTATTTCTACTAGATTTTTATAATTTTAAAAGCTGTGCATAGACAAACCCGGCTGATAATTTATTGTTTAATTCTTTCAGCTTATTCTGTTTCGTTCATAAGCTCATATATTTAGAAAATCGACTGTTAAAGAACAAAATAAATTTTGAATCGCTTCCTTAATCTTCAATGTTTTACATAAGAAAATGAATTGAGTTACAAACATCATCGATCGACTATATCGTTGAGCAACATCTACTCTTTGTTAAAAATGACGACTATTAATGTGATTTCACCATGAGAGAACAGAAGAAGTGGTTGACTTCACTTATGGACACATCATAAGTTAAAATTGAATGCCATATAGATAGAGAACAAACGAATAGAAAAACAAATTAATTTTGTTTGATAGATAAGACTCTAAGAAAGTGTCAAAGAAAATTAGCTATTTAAAATATATTTTCATTAAACAAAAAAAAAGACATTAAATAAAATGATGAAAAGAAATTGCTGCGCTTGTTACTAATTGAACTTATCCATATTACAAAACAATAACAGATTTTAGTCAGACTCGATTTTTACAAATTAAAGAACAAACATGACAATTGCTACATTACAGAGAGAATTAATGTATGAAATATTTTTGTGATATAGATGACATGATCCGTAGTAGTTGAACGGGAGTAGAAAAATCCATCCATCTTTATTCCCATTAGATGAGAACATAGTCCTTAATGTATGAAAATATAATGCACTCTTTCATAGAAGTACACGTTGATACGAACAAACGGTACTTTTAAAACATCAGCTTAACTAGGAAAAATTTCAAGTCAAGTATATTTTTTTCTACTGAGATTCAGTTATTTTTCAATATGTTAAAAATTGACTGTTTCATTATATTCGGACAGAATTTTTCGAATATTTGACTTTAGACAATGATTTTTCTCAAAGTTTTGCATATATTCTTGTAGCCTGTTGTACAGAACTGAATCTCTTAGACTATTTCACGATCCCAGCTTAGTTTTTTGGAACTTCTGGAAGATTGACTAGATTTAAATGTTAGTGTACTTGTAAAAAATTTGTAAATTATGGTAAATTATTTTGTATATCACCGACGATAATCCAATAGAGAACAATTCAGGCATTATGAGAGAGCGGAAAAAAAACGATTTTACTCGCACCAAACGGACTGAGCTGGAACTTTGGGAAATCTATAATGAACTGTACTTGTATACTTTAGGAAAGTTTTGTCTTTACACATACTATGGTTTAGATGTTTTTGCGATCTTAGCGCTAAATGTATTTTAATCCATAACGCATAGAACTTAACGCCTCTACACTTTCTAAATTGTTTTATAAACAGAAGATGTTATAAAACCATTTTTCTGGCGTAGACATCAATAAATCAACAGTACATATATTTTTTTAACATCTTCTGTTTATAAAACAATTTAGAAAGTGTAGAGGCGTTAAGTTCTATGCATTATGGATTAAAATATATTTAGCGTTAAGATCGCAAAAATATTTCCTAAACCAGAGAATGTGTAAACACAAAACTTTCCTACAGTATACAAGTACAGTTCATTATCGATTTCCCAAAGTTTCAGCTCAACTCGTTTGGCGTGAATAAAATCGATTTTTTCACCTTTCTCATAATGTTCGTTCAGATAAAGGAGATATCGTCATTTGTATGAAGAGTTACTTACACGTGACAGACTAAAGTTTAAAAGTTTTATGACTTTCTAGTTTTGAGGTTGAAGAAAAAAAGATCAAAATCTATTGTTAACCGAAATAAACTTTTATGTCCAGAAATGTTACTTGACTCATGCAACCATATTTCATTCCACAACTCGATTTTTTTTTTAAAAGGCTAACAAGTATAAAGAGAAAAAACTGAAAATAATTTTCGATATCAAAATTTTGCCAACCGTTCACAAGTTACTCCTAGGGTAGACGAATATCTAACAATCTTATGAACTCAATAAAAAAAGACAATCTGGATGACATTCGTACTAAACTGTCTATTTTCACTTGAAACGATAGAAATTGATAGATGATGAGTACTTGATGAAAAACATGACGAATTTAATCGACAAATGTAGAAAACAGATCATAGCAAAATAAAAGCGTGCTTTAGATATGCGAGCAAAAAGAGCTTTCTATTTTTAGATTTGATTGTTACCTTCTTACAGTGATATTTCACTATTTCATTTGTACTAGATTTATTTTTGATATCATTTATATTAGATTTTTTCTAAAAATCATTATATCATGTGAGGAGGTCGCTAGAGTATGATGTATTGTTTATTTTACCTGTCCATCTTCTCCTTGTTCATCTTCTGAGCTTTCATCATCATAACATCCTTCATTATCGTATGTTGACGTTTCATGTTCAATATGATTATTATTGTGTTGATGATTATAGAATGATGAATTCACAATATAATTTGTTGGTTGTTCATGATCAATAATTTCTTCTTCAGAATTTAAAATTTTTTTAGAAAAATTTGTCATCGTTTTTATTGTAGCTGACGGAGATGATTGAATCATAAAAGATGAATTTGATGATTGTACAGATCTAAAAGAAAAAAATGATAATAATTGAATCATGGTGTATTTTAATTAAAAATAAAAAATTAATAATAAGCAAAATGAATGAGCAATAGCATACTTGATTTCATGAGATTTTGTATGTGAATGAAAATCATAAAGAGAAAAACAATAATAACGACATGAATCACAAGGAAATAATTTTTCTATGGAATGTTCAATATTCATATGATTTTTAAATTCATTTATATTCGATGTAGAAAAATCACATTCATTGCATTGACGAATTAAACGAAAACGTGGTGCAAGCTGTTTACGTCTAAATATAAAATAGAATATTAAGTATTTATTTATTATCGATGACTCAAGTCAACAATGAGTAATTAAACTAAGAATTATGAATAAAATAGAAAAATCTTAACAAGCGGATACTATTATGTCTTTAATCATCTCGAAATATTTAGAATCGAATTGAAAGTAAAATAAAGAGAATTAGTTCTTTCATAAAAGCTTCATTTACTGAATGAATCTCTCAAATTATTACGTATAATAACTCTAAATTAATCAATCATCTTTGAACCAGACTATAGTGACCTCCGTCCACTAGTGTCACGTGATATCCTTAAATACAAATTTCAAAATTTATCTGACTAATATTCTAAGATAAAGTAATGAATTATGACTTACACTCAAAACTAAAAACTGGTTGATAGGCACCTGATTCTTTATTAAAGTTTTCTTATCAATTTCTGTACATTGATGAGTTGATGAAGGAGTATAAGAAAAAATAAATCAGCTTACTTACTATATTTATCTCAAAAGCTCTCAGCTGATTTAAGAGCTATAACAGTAGAGATTCAATTATTATCGTTAGCATGGAAAAATACGTTCAATCATAATAACAAAAAAAGCTTTTTAAAAGAGCAGCAGAAAGAAGATTTATTATATGTTAGATTATTAGCAAATAATATTAACGAACATACCTGCTTGAACCACCACCACATTTTGACGGTGTCGTTTTTGTACTTTCAATATTCGAATTTGATTTTTCCGATCTTGCATCAGTATCACTTAAAACGGAAAAAAAGAAAATTAACAATCAATAAAAAAAGACTCTTAGATTTTCTTATTTTTAAAAATTCTATAATATTCATTCTTTTTTTTTTATATCGGGTAAAGTCTGACACATTCTGATAGTGGAAAATATCACACACAGATATATCGCGTCTTTTTCATCACAAATGAGTTGTTTTATGTTTTTTTTATCATCTAACAAAAATTTGTTTACAAATATTGAAACTAAAACATAATTTTTTATTATCGAGACATTGAGACGCCTCAATTTTTTTTTTAATGAAAAGAATTGTGCCAAAAATCAAGTTACTAACATGTTAATAATTTGCTAAGCGGAAGATAGTTAATTTATATTAGGTTGCGGCTTTTAATCACATACCAAACAACACATATCATTTGTATGAGATAATCAATTAATATTGATTAAACTCATTTGCAGAATTCTCTATTTCTATATACGCAAAAATCTGGTATTAATGATGGGTAATCTATTTCAAACATGAGATCTATAGAAGCTCTGAGGTATGAGTTCATTGGGTACATTATATCTCGCCTTTATTCTATGTCATTATTCAAATATGTTTGAGAAACGCAAAATTGTCATTAAGAATCACATGTAATTTTTAAATACAGGTCTTTTTAAAAAAAAAAAAAATTTATTTAACATTGATGATATATGTATATATGGGGGTTTCTCTCTATATTTTTTGATTTATATCTTTGTCTGTATAGAGAAAGAAAGATCGAATAATAGAAGACATTTTACGATTGTCTAAATCTATAACAGAAAAACCCAAACCAAAATAGACCAGACAGAGACCGATTGAATCAAATGATAAAGAAGAAATACATTATCTATCTATTGCATATATATATATGTGTAAAAATATCATCCACTACTACTACCAAAACGTCTCGGTTAAAGATTTTATTTTTTTATAAATTAAATTTTATACGATTATTGTATGGTTCTTAGATATATTTTGTATAGGATGAAAATGGGCGTTATGAAAAACAAGAGAGAGAGAGAGAAAGAGAAAGAGAACATCAACTATACAAATGATCGAGACAACATGAACGAACTGTTAAAACGACGACAGGTAAGAAGCAAAAGAAATTCTTTATCTAGTACCGATATCTAAATGGCTTAAAGGCAATCGCGGCTACGCATCGACGAATCCAGAACACTTACTCATTCACAATACATTTGTACAGGTTTTATATACGGATACCAATTTTTCTCTAAGAAACTGATATAAAATGAAAATGCCTTTTCTTTTTCCATTATTCTTCTTTTGTCATATCATTCATTCACATACATTTCATCTTCACCCATCCAACTATAAATTGTATGATTAGTGTAAGTTTCGATCAAGAGATGAGACAGACAGACAGATACAGAGAATGATGGGAAAAGATGGGATGGACAATAAAATGAAAAATAGAGGTGATAAAACAAGAAAGATCATCATCAAATAACTATCGGTTCCCACTAAAATAAATGAGATGTCACCAAAATCCTTACATTCTTATAGAGAACATATAATCAACTAATTAAAAAACATTTCGGTGAAAACTATTAATATTTTAACTTGCAAATAATTAAACAAATATTCTTATTTTAATTATAAAGAATTACTTCTTTTCTTTTTTGAAAATTCTTTTTATAAGAATATCAAATAAATTAAAAACAATTGTTAACTTACGAAATAATATTTTAACATGAAAATCTTATTTGAAATTAGTTTTATGTCGAGTGGCTGTATGATGTCGATGTGTTTGTTGCTTAATCTTTCATTATACTTTAGTTATGTTGGTTTTCTTGTCAACGTCTATACGTTTACTAACTATATGCCATTAATGTACAAAATAGAATTTTTATTCTTAATTTTATACACGATATCAGATCTTCAGCAAATTTAGTCATAGCTTAACTGATTGTTGGCATTCAAAGAAAAAAAAAGAAAGAAAGAAAATTGGCAACCGAAAATGAAGGGATTAGCGGTTGTCTGTTATTCCTGTCTATATGTTTATTTATCCTGTGAAAAAAACAAATGAAATACACCTCTAACGTATATACATATATTGAACTGATATCATTTAATACACATATAGCCACTATTAATAGAAGAGAACATGTAAAAGTATTAGAGAACTGATGACAAGATCAACTATTCTATAAAACGAAGTTCTCTCTTGTATGGGATTAAAAATTCATCAACTTCTATTTTAACATTATTAACAGACAGTGGTACGATTATAATCATTTTATCACCTATCTACTAGAACTATTTATAAGAAGAAAATCCAAAAGTTTTTAACAATTAATAAGATCCTAAAGTGTTTCAAAATTTAATTAAGAAACATTCTTCTATATCGAGATTTATGGCAATGTAAATAGCAACTAAATTGTTTCCCCCAATATTATCTCTGTATATTGATATCAATTATTAAATTTGATCGATCAAAACTCAAGTATTCATTTCAGATATACAGACTGTTTGATCACTTATTTTTGCAAATAAAGTTTACTTATCTATCTCTATCGTGCTTATAAAAGCAGACTGATTGCATTTCCTAAATATTTCAATGTCTTTTTTCTCTCTCTCTCTTTCTCATCGGAAATCCGATATATATGGTGAACTATTTTCTTTTTTTCTCGAATAAATACTAATCGGTTACATAACAAAGATTCTGCTGTAAATAGTTGCAAAAAATTTCTACTTCCGTTTAATAATCATTTTCACTCTCTCTCTCTTTCTCTCTTTAGCCTCATGCAGTAAACAGTTAATCTTAGCAAACAAACTATTTTCCTGTATGTATAGAACAAAACTGATGCATATTTACCTGATGTCGTCTTGGAATTCATCTGACATTTTCTTAACAAATTCGAATTGTCTAAAAATATAATATAAACAAAAATTTGTCATGAACGAGAAAAATAAATAATAAAAATAAGATAATATCACACACATACACACACACACACATGCAACAAAAGGAAGGGAATAACAGAGATCAAGAATAGAGATGTACATAAATAAATATGCACGTATGTATCGAAAACATGCAATGATGTTGGAATAAATCCATTTACCGGAAATCAAACATAATCGATAAACATATAAGAAAAAATAAAACGATGATTACTATGCAGTAGTAAGCATAAACGCCCAAAAATTATTGAGAATATAGAGGAATAAGGGAGAAATATGTTTTGATCACCAAATTTATAATTAATTAAATGAATGAAATGGAAAAGCAAAAGAGAAAATATGATCACTGGATATTTTCCACAACCGAAAAGCGTAAAAAAATGATTAAAAAAAAACTCTCTTTATTCCGTAGGTCTGCTAACCCTCGTAGGTGTGTGCATACTTGTCGAAAGATTCCAATTTTTAGGTGACAGTGCTACAAAGGCCTGTTGAGCCGTAAATTCTATATGGCAGATCTGTTCATACGTGCCAGATGATTCTCTGTTTCGTCAGCTGATATAAGAAAAACGTTTCGCAATGAAAAAATCTATGATTGTATGTTGAGAAAACAATTTTGATAAAAAAAAAAAGATCAGAAGAGATTTTTTTTCTATCATTTTTTAATGCTTTTCCATTGAATAATCAAATTTTCTATTTTGCTTTTCCTTTTCATTCATCTAATTAATTATAAATTTGATGATCAAAACTCACGTTTTTTGTAATGAAAAATATTGATACTTAAGGAATAAAATGGTATACACGCAGTATGGAATGAGTCAAGACTATAAAAAATTTTTAAATTTGATGGAAAGAAAAAAATAGAATCGAAGAAAATCATTTCAAACTCTTTAACTAAAATTCATAATAACTATATAAGTTCTTTTGCACCCATTAATTAATTCTGGAATGAATTTTCCAGTTATTTACAATACATAAAGATAAAACTTGAATACTATTTGAAATAATATGAAAATTTACTGACAAACGTGGTTTACAATTAGAGTATAGGAAAGTATGTCGAATATATGTAATCTTAATTTAGTGACTATAGAAGTGTTAACTACATCTATTTCTAGCCTAAGCTCGAGCAGACTAATTAATTAAAAATCTCCTTTTCATCAACAAAATTGTTTTAATGACAACTTTTATTCTTTTTTTTTGTTTGGACTTAATTGAAACTTGACACGAGGATGCCAACAATGACAAACTGCCATTTTTTGATCAAATCGATTTTATTTTTATTTGAAATAAAATAATAATAGACGATTTTAATCTGATTCCGACCAGCACCTAATGTTCTTTTATAGATCATCTAGAAAGATATCAATTTAGGAATCTTCATTGCCTACAGTCATATATTACAAAATAAATAAATACATGCTGTTTTTACGATCAACATTCTTCGAAAAACAAAAAAAAAAAAAAATCCTACCAGATACATTCAAGTTCGTACATACATCAAGAAAATAAGCGTATCATTTAGTTCCAATATTTCTTCTCTGTATAAACCAATCACATATGGAATCACAGAATAAGTATAAAAAGCACCAATAAATGTCTAATGCGAAATGGCACCAAATAATATAGAAGAAAAGAAATAAAAAAAGTGGCCAATTCTATTCAACCACAAAAAAAACCTCGAACATTTTTATCGTATATGGAGAAAATGATAATAGAGCTCATATACCTTCGTATAATCGCCGATTTATAGAAGAAGATAACTAACTGATCAATAGTAAGATTTTATTAAAAACAGAATCATGACTTGATGACGTCTTTATGATAAATGATAGAAAAACGAAAGCCAAATGTGTGCACAAATGTACACACAGAATGTGTAAGAAGAAGAAGAAGAAAAAAAGAATGTAAAAATTGCCTATTGAATAAAGATAATAGTATAAAGAGTATGGCAGTCGTGCAAAAGAGTAAAAGCGTATTTATGCCTCTATTTCTGCTGTCACAATCTTAGAGTACCGATACGCAACACTGACTTTTCATTTTTTTTTTGAAAAATGCTTGTTCTTCATCATTACGCATTCATCCTTTATTATTAACCGTCCAAAATATTTTTTGCACCCAATGGCAGCTTTATAAACAGAAATAACAACAGACAAGAAAAAGTGAAGAAAATACATTATAAATATCTGATATAATAAAAGGATTAAGTACTTTTTAAGTTGAATTTAGATATTTGATTTGAAAACAAAAATCTATCTATATGGTTATGTTTCAACAGAAAGTAATTGAGAGTGAATAATTAAAGATCTTGTTTTCCACTTTTCTATGAAAAGTTAAATTACACTCTAAAAAATCGTAGATTAAAAAAATGAAAAAGAGTTTTTCATTTTGTAACTATACCGAACGCTTTTTCATTTTTCAAAATACGTAAAAAACCCTCCAAAAAACGTATTGGGTTATTTAGATGCTGTAATGGGTTTTTTTAAAGGGTATTTTACCAATTTTAAAAAATGGAAAACCCTTTTTCGTTTTTTAATCTACGATTGCCTTTTTAGAATATAGTCCTTAAAAGAGAGCTAAATATTGAAACAATAACTTTTGAAATTTAATAAATAATAAAACTGTTCTGTCTATCGTTAGTTAATAAGACTGACTGCTACGAAAGAAAATAGAATCGTGTTTTTCAAATGAAAACTCAAAATTTTCTTATCATGCAGTAAAAATGAATCTTTTTACCACAGTTGATAAAATATAAATTCATTTTTATATGAGTCAATCATTTACAGATATTATTATGAGAGCAAGAAAAAAATACATTTAAGTTTAACTACAACTGATATACTCACCTGTCTAGGTAACTAAACGTTTGAAGTTCAAAGATATTCATTACTGTTAAAAAATGTCTTCTTCCATAGAATAATGATCATTATCAAAAATAAAGCGAGATATATCTTCTTTCTCTTTTTTTTTTGTGAATATTCTCTCACTTATTGTCACAAATCAGACTCTTTTCCAATAGAAGAGAAAAGAAAGAGAATTTTACGGTATGATGATGATGAGAGTCTGGCACGTTAAAGAAGCGAAAAGAACGACAAAAAAAAAAGAAAAAAGGAGAGACGGTTTGTTAACTACTAGAACGAAGAAGATACACGTCATCTTCTTCTGTATAACCACACATACATATGTATACACCGTTGTACAGTATAGTCTATATCTCGTAGTACTTTGTTTCTTTTTATTTTCGGTAGGTATATGATATGAAAAAGATGGCTTTACTTAAAAATTTAGAATGCTGGATTCATTCATTCATGCAATTTATTTTAACCAGATATAATATTAAAAAATGATCATATCTAATAGGTCCAGACAGATGAACATCACTACTACTGCCGAAATAGTCTCT